CATCAGCATCAGCATCATCAGCATCAGCATCAGCATCAGCAGCATCAGCATCAGCTTCAGCATCAGCATCAGCATCAGCATCAGCATCAGCATCAGCATCATCATCATCATCATCATCATCATCAGCATCAGCATCAGCATCAGCATCATCATCATCATCATCATCATCATCATCATCATCATCATCGTCATCGTCATCGTCATCGTCATCATCACCATCATCAGCATCATCATCAGCATCATCACCATCAGCAGTATCAGCATCAGCATCAGCATCATCATCATCAGCATCACCATCATACTCATCATCATAATCATCGTCGTCATCATCAGCAACAACATCATCACCATCATCAACATCACCATCATCATCGTCAACAACAACATCAGCATCATCACCGTCACCACCACCAACAACATCAACATCAACATCATCAGCACCAGCATCATCATCATCAGCAGCATCATCATCATCACCAAGACAACCATAATCATCAACATCAACACAATCAGAATAATGATCAGCATCATCATAACCACCACCACCATCGCCATCGGCATTCATCACCGTTATGATTATCATAATCATCATCATCATCATCATCATCATCATCATCATCCTTATCGGCATCATCACCACCATCACCATCATCGTCATCATTATCAGCAGCAGCATCACCATTATCATGATAATCAGCAGCATCATCAGCATCATCATCATAGTCGTGATCGTCGTCGTCATCGTCATCATCATCAGTATCAGCATCTTCATCATCAGCATCATCACCACCATAAATCATCCCCATCATCATCGTAATCGTCATCGTCATCGTCATCATCAGCATGTTCATCATCAGCATCATCATCAGCATCGTCATCGTCATCGTCACCGTCCATCGTCATCAGCATCAGTAGCATCATCATCATCATCATTGTCACCACCATCATCGCAATAATCGCCATCATCAGCGGCATTGTTTTCAGAATAAGCAGAATCATCAGCATCGTCATCAGCATAAACTGTATCAACATCATCATCATCAACATCATCATCATCACCATCAGCATCGTCATCATCATCGTAATCGTCATCGTCATCATCATCATTTTCATGTTCTCATGTTCAGCATCATCATCAGCAGCATCGTCATCGTCATCGTCATCGTCGACGCCCATCGTCATCAGCATCAGCAGCATCATCATCATTATCATCATCACCACCATCATCGTAATCAGCAGCATCATCAGCGGCATGTTTGTCAGCATAAGCAGCATCATCAGCATCGTCATCAGCATAAACTGTATCTAAATCATCATCAACATCGTCATTTTCACCATCAGGATCATTATCATCATAATCTCCACCATCATCATCATCATCAGTATCACCATCATCATCAACATCAGCATCAGCATCAGCATCAGCATCATCATCATCATCATCATCATCATCATCATCGAATCGAATCGATCCGAATCGAGTCGAGTCGAGTCGAATCGAATCGAAACGCTCCATGGGAGGCGGTCTCATCATCATCATCATCATCATCATCATCATCATCATCATAATCAGCATCATCATCATCATCACCATCATCATCACAACCATCATCATCCCCATTCTCCTCCAAGTCCACATCCCCATCCCAAATCGAATCCATATCCTCCATGATCCTGCTTCTCCTTCCCGATTCATTCTCACGATGCTTCCAACCCTGCCCTCCGCCGGCTTCATCCTGCCTCGTGCAGCTCCTTTGTGTGATGGGGCTTGATGAAATTGTCCATCTTCGCAGCCACGAAGCACGCTGGTATGAATGAGTCCGCTGCTACCCGGCGCGGGGTAGACAGAAAGCCGAAGGCTAAACATCGTCTGCCAGGCGAGCGGAGCGAAAAGCGGCATGCGAGAGGAGCGGGAAGGTCAGCGTCCCAGGGGCACCTGCAGCCGCCAGTGATACCCCCGCGGCGGCGGGCGAGCGGTCGACGTGACCCCGCGTTCGGGGTCCCAAAACCGTATGGTGGCAGACCGCGTGGTGACCTCTGAGTCCCCAAGACCTCACCGCACGTTCCGTCACCGCACGAACTTGGGATCCCCCGTCTCCCGAGAAGTCCTCGGCGAACGACCCGAACCCCCAAACCGTGCGCTGGCCCCGGATCCCCACTGACTCACCACACGGCGTGGGCACCACACCGTTTAACGTCTGGGGGCCCCCAGGCCACAGCCGCTGGCTTCAGCTGCTGGGGAGTGGCCCCCGGGGGCACCCCTGGCCGCCAGTGATGCCTCCGCGGCAGCGGGCGAGTGATCCACGTGACCACCAGGTGGCGACATCCGGATCCTACCCCCACCAACCCTCGATTCTCCTGAATCCATTGGAGGCGGACGCAAAGTTTGGACTCCGCCACGTCTTCGACACACTCCAAACCCTGCCCCATACGATACCCCCTTGCGGTACGCCCATCGAGCTGCCCGAATCGTGGAAAAAGCGCGGGTAAGGTTCAGATGTCGCCGCCGAGTGATGACGATAGGGGGCCACATGCGAACCCTCGACGAGTGTATCCCTCGCCAGTCCCTCGCAATCCCCTGGGGTCTGGCGGGGCGGCCGCGGCCACACGGATTGGACACGTGCTGGATCGGGGCCAGGCCCGCCTGCCCACCGCCGCGGCGGCAGGCCCCAGCTGGGGCTGTTCAGGGCACTGCCCAGTAGGGGACTGGCAGGCGGATCCCTCCTCCATCCTGACACATCCCTCCCACCTCCGTCTTCCCATCTCACATTGATCTGGCTACAGGATACTGCCGCTGCCTGCCTGCAAGCCCATGGCTTCTGCAGTTTCTAATGGCGCCCCCCCCCCTCGCGGCGGCACATCGTCAACAACCGCTACCCTGCCTTTCTCCGCCGACCTGCAAAAGCACGCAAGAGCGTGCGCTGGTCGTCTGAGGCAAAGTGGCGTCGAAGAGAGGTGCGTTAGGATGGCATCGGAATGTCTTCACCGTGGCCGAATCAGCCACATCGAAAAGGCGCACGGGCCCCGAATCCAAGAAACCCCGCGCGACCCTGATTACGCACGGGACAGCCTCCTATTGCATGGGCGCGTTGCTTGGCCTTGCTTGGCATTGCTGGGCACTGCTTGGCATGGATTAACATTGCTGGGCATTGCTGGGCATTGCTGGGCATTGCTGGGCATTGCTTGGCATTGTTGTCCATTGCCTGTCGTTGCTTGAAATTGCTCGATATTGCTTTGCAATGCCGGGGAGCCCGAGGAACAGGACGGGAGAACCCGAGGAACCCGAGCAAGGCACAAGACCGGAGCATCCGAGGAGCAACTCCAGTGTACCCAAGGCCCTTGCAAAGAAACAAGACCAAGGAAGCTCGAAAAAGGACCCAGGAACACCACAGAATCCCGGCGCGACCGGGTCCAGCTCCCGCCGGCTTCTCCAATAACACGTAAGCACCACTGAGGCAAAGCCTAACTTGGGAACGAGCAACGTAGCAGGCAAATCGGTTCGCCTGCCTGCCTTTCCAATGTTTGAGTAGAGAGAGCCGCAGTGAGTCCCGAACTCCCAGGAGTGGGCACCCCTGAGTACGAAAGTCCTCCTCCTCCTCCTCCTCCTCCTCCTCCTCCTCCTCCTTCTCCTCCTCCTCCTCCTCCTCCTCCTCCCTCCTCCTCCTCCTCCTCCTCCTCCTCCTCCTCTTCCTCCTCCTCCTCCTCCCACAAGCCCTCTAGACGTCAGTGTTTCGCGGCGTTAACTTTTCCCAAAGCTCTTTCGGTCGAGGAGTGACTTTGCCTTCCCCGAACCAATCTCTGCCGATTCCAAGGGGAACTGCACATACGCATTCTACCATTACAACGATTTGTTCATGATGATGCTTGCAGGGAAAAACACCACCGCAACCGACTGGCAACACAAAAAACCATCCCACAACCCCATCCCCAAGAGGTCTGAACGGGGAGGGAGTCACGAGCAGCTAGAGCGTCCCATGAACCTGGACCGGATTGTTCCAGAGAGCTCAAGATGACCGGTAGTCCAAATTGGCTCAACATGGAATCCAGGGGCCCCGGGACGGCAACCAAATGGCTCGAGGTGGTCGCGGAGCCTCCTGAGGATAACCCCAAGAAGTCGGTGCTGTCAGCTTTCTCGCTTGCCTGCTTCCGATGGGGTTCCCGAGGCCTCAAGATGGCCTCAAGATCCAATACCCATCTGGGGGGGGGGCTGGCGTGACATCGGCGGCTGCCATTCTGATCGTTTATGTCGAACTCGGCCTCGCCGCACAGCGGGGTGGCATTTTCAGACAGGCGAGGATGGTGATAGAGAGGATGGCAAAAGACTCGAAGAGACGAAACAGACATTTAGGGACAGAGTGGAAGTGGAAATGAGGGTCGACTGGGGAGCAGCTACGACGGGGAGCGGGCATGCGAGTGAGCAAAATATGGATAGCCCACGAAAAAGCAAAGCAGAGGGAGGCAGAGGGGGAGAAGCAGAAAGAGAGAGAGAGAGAGAGCGAGAGAGAGAGAGAGAGAAACACACAAAAAAAAAAAACATATGGAGCGACGGAAACAGGGGCAGAGGGGAAGACCGAGTGGGGAGAACGAGACGGAGACGAGCGCGGATGGACGCCGTGCAGCGACGGAGCCAGGCGCGGAGACCGGGGGCGGGTGGGGGGGCGCAGGCGGGAGGGCGAGAGGGGCGAGGCCGAGGCGGGAGGCGGGGCGGAAACATGGGGCGGGGTCGTGGGCACAAGGCGGAGGCAGCGAGACGGCGCGAGGTACGACGGGAGACGAGGACAAAGGACAAGCACAGAGTGCTCAAGAGGAGCATCTGCACACGTCGATGCCAGTGTCACTCCAGGTCGACGTGTAAGGAGCAGAAAGAGACAGGGGCACACATACATAGAGAGAGAGAGGGGAAGAGAGGAACATCACAAAAAACGACAGCGCGGATACAGAGAGGTGCGGCGTGAGTTCTACGAGGGCATGAGGGGGGAGGGGAGGCAGGGGCGATACAAGAGAAGAGGAAGAGGAAGAAGAAGATAAGGAAGAGGGATTTCGTGGCTCTCCCAACACAGCCAGCCATCCACGCGCATCGTGGCTGATAGAAATCATCAGCACGCGCAGCGGTGCGAAAAGTAGAACCGCACCCGTGCCACGTTTCTGCAAACAGCCGCGCGAACACCAGAGCAACGAGAGATAGGGAGAGAAAGAAAGGCGGAGAGGACAATCGAACGACAATTGTTTGCAGAACAAATGGGGCTGCGTTCGGATGACTCGACCTTCCATCGCACGACATCCACACAGCCTGCGCCCCGGACGCTGTGCGAGAACGCGGTCCTAAGACGGCTCCACCTGGCAGAGAGACAGCATTTGCCCCAACGTTGCCCCGACGCCCTTCGACCGCTTGCGGGGATCCAACGGGCCTTTGGCGAACTGCACAGAGAGTAGAGGCGCCAAGAATACGACGACGACGACGACGACGACGACGACGACGACGACGGACGACGACGACGACGATGACGACGACGACAACGACGACCACAACGACGACAACGACGACGACGGACGACGACGACGACGACGACGACGACGACGACGACGACCACGTGCCACCAAACAAGACGGCGCGAGGCACGCCGAGTGGACTGAGCGGCTCGGCGCGCCCAGGCGGAGCCACACACACGAGCCTGGGCCCGCGGAGACACTGACAAGGTCGGCCTCCGACCAGCAACGTGGCCTGAGCAACACCTCAGGCACGCGACGACTACGAAATCGCCATCTAACACAGACTCGGAGCCTGCATCTCGGCGTGCGAACAGAGCACATGCGCCTCCTGCGCAGCACGCTGGGCCCCCTTGGACGGCACCGTTGACAGGCATGGGCTGGACACTCTGCTGCCCTCCTGGCGGTGCCTGCCCTGCGAGTGAATCGATGTGCCCTGGAAACGTGGTCGGGCACTACCAACAACCCAGGCCCAGCACAGACTTCGGGTTGGAGGGGCACTTGCCCAGGGCGCAGTAGCAGCTAGGCTCGTTGAGCGGGTCAGAACGGTGAAATATGCCAGCGTAGCAGACTGCTCCCCTTCCGGCAGTCGAAGTCACACGGGCAATGGACAATCCACGCGGGTGCGGATCGCGCGGCAGATGCAGGATGGATCAAGCCTCAAGCAGACACATGCCACTTTTCGGACGATTGCAACATGCGATCGTCTGAAGACACGGGCGAACAAACGAACACTGCGTGTGTTCTAGCATGAATTCGACGCACCCCACACTCTCAACCAAAGCCGTGAAGTCTGTTTCCAGCTGTAACAGGACACATATGGCCACCGTTTCCAAAACCTTCACCACGCCACCGCTGCCACTAGGCGCGCGCCGCACTCAACACAGTTTCCACAAACCTCTGCAGGGGTCACAACCGACGACCGCATTCGTCTACACCCACGCCACGACAACAACCGAAACTGGGCGCGCCCCACGCCCTCCGCGAGCACGACCGATTGCCAAATTCTGCCACGCCCCCCCCCCCGCCCCGCCAGACGATCCCCCTCCGACCCGCGACCCGCCGCCCGCCCTTGCCGCGTCACCCGCTCACGCCCCTCATCGGCCCCCGCCGCCTTTCCTCGGCTTCTTGTCTCCGCCCGGCCACTCGCCCTCCTCCCTCCCCGCCCCCCCCCCTCCTTCCGACCATTTCGAATCATCGCTCCCTCCAAACGTCGCACTGTCTGATGCCCGCTGGCCTACGGCGATGCCCCTTTCCGCCGCTTACGGCGCGCCGCCGCCGGCGGCCGGGCGGCCGCAGCCACCTGGGGGACGGGCTGGGCCCCGCATCCAACTTGACATGCCGCCAGCACTCCGTCTCCACGAGCGCCTCTCAAGCCTCGGTGCTGAGCTCGAAGGAGCGCCGATGCAGGCGCGGGCGGCGCGGGCGGAAGCCCTGGCTCGCACGCAACCGCACCGGCTTGGCGCCAAGCAGCTTGGTCACCGCGTGGACGTCCCACCTGTCGGCGGAGTCCACGTTCTCGGAGATGAACGCCCAGTCCCACAAGTCGAACAGCTCCTCGACGACGCCCAACACACGCACCCCCTCGTCGATGAGCCCAGAGCGCGGGTCTACCAGGCCTTTCCAGGCCACGTTTGGCCCAGACAAGCCTTGGCAAGACAGGCCGCCGATGACGAGCAGCCACTTGCCCCTGGAGCAACCGCGCGACGCCCTCGACGTCGCCGACCCCCCCCCCCGCGGGGGCAAGCGTTGCGGGCCACTCGAAAGGCCGCGGGGTCAATCTCAGGGGGGATGCACCAGGCGCACTCGAGGCCGAGGAGTGACCAGGCAGCACGCGCGCCCCCGCTGCCGTCGGAGAGGCCCACGACGACAACCTCGTCCTCGCTGCGCTGCCAGGGGGCCCGCCCGACGCACTCGAGCGCGGTCTCGCCCTCGGGCGCGAAGTCGCGGATGACGCGCGCGCCTGCGCCCATCGGGGCCGGCGTCGGAACAAGACGCCTCGGGCGAGACCGGCAGTCTGAAGTCCGCGCGATTCAGGGGTGATGACAGCACAGCAATGGGGGGCTTATCTGCGACGGCCACGGGGGCGCGCCCAACTGTGCGCCTGCCCACGAAACCAGCGCCAGACCTTCTCAAAGCGGGCCATGTCAGCGCGACGGCGGGCAAACACTCTGACCCAACGCCCGAGGAGGATATGCCGGCGCTTTCCATCGACGCCAGGCCGCGCCAGGACCCACAAGGTGAACGAGATCAGCTTCAGCACATTGCCCTTGGGAGCCTCCTGGCGGCCCAGCTCCCCGTCGACCCTGTCACCTGGCACTCGCGCCTCGGGCCGGCGGAAGACGCCCCTCGCGGGGGCCCCAGGCGCCCCCCGCAGAGCGAGTAGGCTGCCCGCGCTGCCTCGAGGACGGGGCTAACCGACCCCTCGAGGGCTGCTGCGCCCTCGGTTTCGACGATCTCCTGAGTCTCGAGGTTGTCAACGTAAACCCCCCTCCCAGGCCGTGGCCTCGCCTGCCAAAAACGGAAAATGGGGCGGGCGAGTCGCGCCCCCCCTCGCTCCCCCGTGGAACGCTGGCCCAGACGGCGCGGCCTCGCCGCAGAAAGTTACGGCGGGCGTGCTGCGCCGCCCCTGTCGCCGAGACCAACCAAGCCCGCGGCCGCGGTCGCGCTGGTCGCGGTCGCGCTGGCCGCGCGCGCGGAGGCAGCGCGCGGCGCGCCGACGAGGTGCCCGGGGGCCAGGGCGTCGAAGGCAATCAACTTCCGCCAGCAGGGAGGCAGCCCCAACACGCCGAAGAAACAATGGCGGTCGGAGGGAGCCCGAGGCATCAGCTCACGCGCCAAGAGCACTGACAGCGGCAGCTGGCCAATGTCTCCTCCGACAACGCGCCGCGTGATGTTCGACGGGGCGAGGCCCATGATGCGCCGAAGGACGTGGCCGAGCGATCCGCCCATGAGCGCGATTGCCCCCTTCGCCCCATCGCGCGCGCCGAAGGCCCCGCGCAAGACAGGCCCCCCCTCGACGCGCAGGACGTCCTGTAGCGAGATGGGATCCACGAAGCCTCTGGCCCGGCGTGCCTCCACGAGCTGACGCCAGACATCCGTGGACGGGCAGGAGCATCGCGCCCGCGCCCAGCAGCGCCATGCGCGCTGCGCCCTCGTAGAGGTCGGCAGCTTCGACAGAGGCCGCGATCCCCCGAGGCGGCGGCGCCGGCAGCGCCTGATCCGCGGAGAGAGTCTCCGCCGCGCCTATCTGCTCGCCGTCGTAGGCCACGCGGTCCCCGGCGAGCTCAGCGCCCTGGTCAGTCGGGCGGTCGGAGCTGCGCGGCATGAAAAAAATCGCCGCCCTCGAAGCATCCCGATCGAGCGGAGCTGAGCCGGGTAGGGGGGCCCCACGTGAAGCCACCTCTGGTGGTCGACGGCGCAGCTGGCGCAGAGGTGATTGAGCGCGATGATGAGGACGTGCACCCACTACTTGCAGACCAGCATCTCATCGGCCGAAGTTGGCGCCCAAAGAACGCAGTTCGTCGTCCGCGGGCGCGCGGGAGGGCATGGGGAGTAGGTCACGCTGCCTCCCCGCTGTTCTCGAAGTTGGTCTGCCCCCCAGACGAATGAGCTGACGCGCCACTTCGCCGAGCCTCGTCGGCATCTCCCCCGCGGGCCCGAGGGGGAATCTCGACCCGCACCCGCCGCAGGCCCCCCCCCCCCCCCCCCACGGCAGCAACGCGCACCCCGCCCTCGCAAGCGGGCGCCGCGGGAGCCGCCGCCGCGCGCGCGCCGCCTCTGGGCCCTCAACGGCGCGAGGAGCACGGGGCCAGCATGGCGAGGCTGAGGCGCGGGGCACTGAGGGCGAGACTACTTGCCTTTCTTGCCCCTGCTCTTGCGCCGCCAGCCCCCTGGTCCGCGTCGTCTTGCAGCTGCGCGCTCCTGACGCGGCTGGCGTTGACCCCGCGAGGCGCCTGCTCTCGGTCCGCGCCCACTGTCTCGACCTCGGGCGCGAAGGGCGCCCCCGGCGCCGAGGGGGCTGCCCGCCTCGGGGAGGGCGCTCGAGGCGAGCCTGGAGCTGCTCCGCGGGCGCGCTCCGCCCCCTGCAGCCGCTCGGCCTCGGCGCGACGGCGAGCTCCCGAGAGGTCTCGGGGGCCGCTGGGCGGAGCGACGCCTGCCTGCGGGCCCGCGGAGCTGCCCGCGCGCACGGTGGCGCGAGCGGGCGAGGGTCTCCCGGGGGAAGGGGCGGCTCGTCGCTCCTCACCCCTGCGGGGCCCCCAGCCCGCGGCGGCACCCCCGCGGCCCCGAGCCATCGCCCCCTGGGGCCGCGCAGCGAGCACGGCGCGGCCCGCCGCTGTTTGGCGCCCCCCGGGACCCACCAGGGCGGGCCAGTCGCTCGCGAGTTCCAGCTGGCCGGCCGCGGCCCAGCCCTTGTCGCGCACGCTCATCCCCGGCGCCTTCACCTCTGGATCAAGAGGTCGCCTACCTCGGGCAGCCCCCCTCGAGCAAACCGTCGATCGCGCGCGCGATCGCCCTCATCTCTTCGACGGCACGCTGGGAGACGCCGCTCTGCTGATGATGGCCGAAGACGATGCTGTTGAGATAGACCAATACCCTGGCAGGCGAAGAGCCCGCCCCCTCCCGCTCCCCGAGGAGACGGGGCATCTCGCTCAGGCCCGACTCGAGCAGGGCACCGGGGCGAAGGCGGGCTGCCTGCTGGATGCGGTGGGCCGCTGAGCCAGAGGGGGCGTCGCGAAAAAGCGACTCGGTGTCGGCCTGCTGCGCGCCGAGTGAGGGCTCTGCTCTGCCACGCGCCCTCCTGACCACGGCGCCGAAGGAGTCGGCGCGCCCTTCCTGCTCTCGCTTGAGAGCCTTCTCGAACTCCTCAACATTCTGGGCCAGCACTGCCCTCTCACGCGGGCCAGCCGCGAGGTCGCCCAGCGCCCCCGGCGAGTCGGGCACGCCGACCAGCACCTGCAGTTGCGCCCGCGGCTCGGAGAGGAGCAGCGGGCTGCGCGAGCGGGCTACGTCCACACGGTGCACGGCGCGAGTTCCAGCAGAGGCGTTGTACTGCTCGCGGGCGCCAGCGCAGAGGTTCACAAACGGCGCGCCCGTCGGCGCGCCCCACGCCTCCTCGAACTGCAAGTCGCAGAATGGAGAGGACGCACCGCCGAAGGCCGCCGTCGCGCACGTCCCCATCGCGTCTGGCGCCCACAGCATGCCGAGCCGCAGCAGCGCCGAGCCGCTCACAGCCCCCAGCTCATCGCGGGTCCGGACCTCCAGGATCGAGCCAGCGAGGAGGCCCAGCTGCTGCGTGAGGTACAGCCCCAGGCCCTTCCCGAGCCACGGGCCGCCCACGGCCGTGGGACCAGCGGCCTCAGAAGGCCGCCCGCGCCAAGGGGCATGCCAGGCACAGGAGTGGCCACGGCGGCCAGTCCTGCAGGAAGCACAGGCACGCCGAGCCCAGCAGGTCCAGCAACCGCAACACCTGCTCCTCCTGCAAGCGCCCCGGCGAACTGCGCCCCCAGCCCCATCTGCACAGGGGCTTCTGGACGCTGCGAGACCCCTGGCCTGCATGCCCTGGACCGCGGCCCTGATGCGCCCGTCGTCCAGGCCCACGCCGAGCCCGCGGGCCATCTGACCGAGCCTGGCCGCCACATCGCGAATGTCGCCACCGCCGGCCTGCGCGGCCGCGACCACGGCTTGGTGGAGCCCAGCGCCTCCGCGGCCTCCTCGCCCTCGGCCCGCGGGCGCAGAGGCGGCACCGCCCAGCACCAGCGCGTGGCCGCCAGCGGCCACGAGCAGGGCAGCGCCAAAGACGGGGGCCCCTCCTGGGGCGGCCGCGCGTCCATCGCGCGCCGACACAGCCAGCTCCTCCCCCGCGTCCGCAGCCACGGGCAGCCGCCGCTCCTCCGCCGCCACGGCCGCGCTTGGGCGGCATATCCCGCGGCCCCGGCAGCTCTGCAGCTCCCCGCGGCGCACCCGCTCCACCCGCCCGAAGTGCACGCAGCGGGCAGCCGGCGAGCTGGGGCCGCCTCCCTCGCCGCGCCGCAGGGCGAGGGAACGGCGGGGAGCCGGGAGGCGACGAGGGCTCCCCGCTCGAGGTCGCGGCCCGCGGCCCCGCGCCCAGGGCGGCGGAGCCGCTCGGAGGGGGAGCCGACCGCGCGGGGCCCGGCCGCGGCGCCGACCGACGCCCGGCGGTCGGCGGCAGCGTGCGGGGCCCGCGCCCCGCCGGGGTCGCCCCCGGGCGGGGCGCCCCCCCCCCCCCCCCCCGGGGTCCCGAGGGCAGCCCTCTGGCGGGCCGGAGAGGCTGCCGCGCCAACGGGGCCCGGGTGCCCCAGCGCCCTGCCCCGTGCCTCCCTCCCTCCGCACGAGCCAAGAGATGGAAGCTCCCTCAAACTCGTCGCCCGCCAAGGCGTGGCCCCGCGGCGGTGCCGCGGGACGAGGCGCACGTGCATTGCAGCACTGCAATGCGTTGCAGTGCGCTGTTTTGCATTGAATTGCGCTGCATTGCATTGTGCTGCGCTGCATTGCACTGCATCCTGTCACATTGCATTGCGTTGCATTGCGTTGCGTTGCTTTTCATTTGCGTTGCGTTGCGTTGCGTTGCGTTGCATTGCATTGCATTGCATCCTGTTGCGTTGCATTGCGTTGCACTGCGTTGCATGTGCGTTGCAGTTGCAATACACTGCATTGCAGCGAAAGCACGTTGCGGGAGAGGAGGAGGAGGAGGAGGAGGAGGAGGAGGAGGAGGAGCAGAAGGGAGGAAGGTACAGGAAGAGGAGTGAGAAGGAAGGAAGGAGGAGAATGGCAAGGGGAGTGGCGGGAAGAACCGGCCGACCACCCGGGCACAAGCGGGCAACCAGCCACCCGGCCACCCAGCCAACGGAGCAGCCAACGACTCCACCAGCCAACCAGCCAAAAAATCGAGCAACCAACCAACCGCTCCCAGCAAAAAAAAAGTGTGACCCGGCATCTGGCGAGCCAGCCAACCGACCCATCGGCCAACCATTCCCAGGCAGACTGAGACCGGGTCAAGCAGCCGATCAGACAACCAACCAGCCCAACCGCCATCCAGCAAAGCAACCTCACAAATACCACTTGCTTGATCTGGCACTATACGAGTCATTCAGCCAACCAAGCCACCAACCAATCAGTCTTATGTCGGGCGTGTCCCCCTACAGAGGGATTTTCGACGAAAAATTGTTTAACAAAAAATGCCCCCGAAAGGTAAAAACATACTCAAAAAATGCCCCCCAGACTATTTTTGGACTATTTTTTGACTATTTTGGGGGTATTGATTATTTTTCGTCGAAAATCCCCCTGCAGGGGGACAGGCCCGACTTAAAATCAGTCCTTCAATCGGAGTTTTTCGAGGATGTCTCATACGGAGGGCCCCGGACACAAACTTCTGACTCAAACGACATTGGTGTTGACCCTCACAGAATGAAGGGGCCCTGAAGCACACAAATAAGTACACACAAATAAGAGGATTCCCATTATGTTTCCCATATTTTCCAGGTTTTTGCCTTCCCCCCCACTTCCCATATCATCCCATATTTTCCTGGGGATCGACGATTCATTGTGTCTGTGTGTTTTTTCCCCTCCTGAGTGCTGACCCTCACAGGAAGCCCTTCGGAGGCGGCCGAGGCGGAGGGTCGTCGTCGGAGCCGGACGGCGGGCGGCTGCTCGAGGCGGAGGGTCGTCGGTCGGGCCGGCGTCGTCGAACGAGCCCGTCGGACGGTGGGCGGGCGGTGGAGGTGAGGGTCGCGATGGACTACGTAAGGCTGCAGAGAGAGAGAGAGGGAGAGGGAGAGAGAGAAAAAAAAAAAAGGAGCACTGGCCACGAGGAAGGAGAGAGAGAGAGAGAGGGAGGGAGGAAGAGAGGGAGAGAGAGAGAGGGAGAGAAGTTAGAGAGAGAGGGAGAGGGAGAGGGAGAGGGAGGGAGAGGAGGACAGAGGCAGAGAGGGACACGGGCCATGGGGAGGGAGAGAGAGAGAGAGAGAGAGGGAGGAGATGGAGCGGAAGCGGACGGGCGAGGTGGGAGAAGACACGAGGGAAGAGTTAAGCCCACGATCCGCCAGCGAAGGCCTCCGAGGGGCCTCCGCGGGGGCCCCGAGGGCCCCCCCGGGGGCCGCTGGCGAGCGCGCCTCGCTCTGGATGGACATGCGCACGGCCGCGAGCGCGATGCCGACCAGCCAGTGCGGCACCTTCCCGTCGGTGAAGGTGTCGACCAGCTCTTGGCAGAGCACCCTCCGGGGGCCGCCCGGGAGGGCGGGCGGCGGCCGCGGCCGGCGAGGAGGGCGGCAGGGCAGAGACCGCGGGGAGGGCGCCCGACGGCCGGGAGGCCCCGGCCTCGGCCGCCCGGCCACGGGGCGGCTTGGGGGGGGGGGGAGGCCGCCGGCAGGGGGCCGGAGGGGCGGGCGGGGGCTCGGCGGAGAGGAGCGGAGGCACCGACCAGGGTCGGAGAGCGGCGGAGGAGGAACAGGGAGAGAGGGGCGGGGAAGAGCCGGGAGGAGACGCTGTCGAGAGGCTCCCGAGAGGCCCCAAGAGGCCCCCAGGAGGCCTCCAGGAGACCCCAAGAGAGCCCTCAAGAGGCTTATCCTCCTGGTCTTCATGGTCTTCCTCTCCTACTGTTCCTCCTCCTCCTCCTTTTCCTCCTCCTCCTCCTCCTCCTCCTCCGCATCCTCCTCCGCCTCCTCCTCCGTCTCCTCCTCCTCCTCCTCCTCCTCCTTCTCCTGTTGCTGTCTGCATTACTAAAAATAGTATTCTTGATACGATTGAAAGTATTAGTATTAATATTCCTACTTGTATGGGTAATGTTCGTACTCTTCGTATTGTCATTGTCAGTGGTAATGACAAGAATAGTAATAACCAGAATACAAATAACAATCATAAACATATGTTTGAAAATAGTATTACTAGTAGTACTGGTAATACGATTATTGATACCAATACTTGTTGGTATGATGGATGATGATGGTTACAATTGTGGTAATATTGTTAAGACCTATATTATAGTATACTCTGTTATCGTATGTTCTAGCATCTGCTACTACAGTGTATCATGCTATAGCATAATATATGCTATTATAATAATGGCAATATTCGCACCAGTACTACTAGTATGAGTACTGTTGTTGAGACTACTACTTTTATGAGTATTAGGCTTACTGGTATTGGTATGATGAGTATGCCTGTTATGTGTATTCTTCATATTACGAGTAGGAATATTAGGATTTCTCTGACTACTCGTAATATCATGACTAGCCCTGGTATTCTTCTCACGAGCTCACGAACAACGACCAGACTTATAATACACAACTATAAAATAACAATAAAAACTACAATAATAATACATACCCAACACGTCGCTCTTGTCATCACATCATTAGTGTTTATCGGATTCGATGATTTCGTATTAGTAATATGGTTATTCGTCTTTGCATTATTATTACGATTAACAACCGTATTGGTTCTAGTAGGATCGCTATAATGAGTTCGACTATTACTCGTTTTCTTCGTTTTCGTCTTCTCCTCCTCCTTCCTTCTCCTCCTCCTCCTCATACTTCTCGTCCCTCCTCTATCCTCCTCCTCTTCATCCTCCTCCTCCTCCTTCTCTTCCTCCCCTCCTCCCTCCCCTCCTTCGGGGGGCATTTGGCGACTTTGCGATGGTGTCTCGAGCGGGAGCCCCAGATTGGGGCACGCCCGGGTTGGCTTCTGCGAGGATGTCTCGGGCCAGGGCCTCGGAGTGGGACACGCCCACTGCGCCCATGCCTGTGCCGGCAGATCCTCGGCAATGGTCCCTGGGGGCGCGGTGGGGACTGACTTTCTCGCGCGCCGGGGGTCGACTCCGGGAGGATGTCTCGAGCGAGATCCCCCGACTGGGACACGCCCGGTGCGCCCTGGCGCGCCCCAGCGCGCGCCGGCAGATCCCCGGAAAGGGTCCCTAAGGGCGCTGCGGGTCCTGACTTTCTTGCGCGAGGAGATCGACTTTGGGAGGATGTCTCCAGCGAAACCCCTGGACTGGGACACGCCTGGTGCGCCCCGGCGCGACCCAGCGCGCGTCCGAAAACCTCTTTGGGAAGGCTTGGGAGGGCCAGTTTTTGGAGGATGTCCCACGCGAAGGCGCCAGCTCGGAATTCGTCGGAGGATGTTCCAAACTTCCCGAAAACGGAACAGGGGGGCCTCTGAGGGACTCCTTAGGGAGGCTCGGAGAGCCAGTCTTCTAAAGTCCCACGCGAAGGCGCCAGTTTGGAACCCGTCGCCGGATATGCTGAACTTCTCGGAATCGGGACAGGGGGACCTCTGAGGGCCTCAGCATGTCATTCGGACCTGTCTTCTTACTATTATTAACTTCAGCTTCCTATGAACAGCATTATGATTGCTACGAGTAGCACTATTGTTAGACATGCTCCTCCCCATCTCCCTCTTCTATCCGCCCCGCAGAACCGTGTGCGTGCGTGCGTGCGTGCGTTCGTGTGTTTGTGTGCCTGTGTGTCTGTGTGTCTGTGTGTCCCCCGCAGAACCGCCTGCGCGCGGGGGCCGCGTTCCTGGGCCCACTCTTCGTGGTCGGCGGCGCCTCGGAGCCGAGTCGCGGGCGGGCTGCACCGAAGGACAGACGGAGCCAATCGCGGCACAGAGGGGCCGCGCCCTGGGCCGCGCGGCCCGTTCCTCCTACTCCATGTTGCCATGTTGCCAGCATGCGAGGGAGGCTCCACGCGCGCCGTGGGCCCTGCCTGGCATCTACCTCCAGATCCTCTCGTGGGAAGCCCCGACGGCTCTGGCGCAAACCTATGGTGAGAGCGCGTCAATGGGGGGAGGGCCAACACAAAACACCCTGGGGGAGTTGCCCTTTCAACAATCTCTCCTTAGCGCGTCGGCCCGTGCTGGTGGGGGCCTCGCACTGCGAGCGCAGCCTCGCTGCTTTTGCATTTCCTACGCCACCACACCTCTCGCAAAATGCGACCCCACGGAAGACTTGCAAGTGGGGGAGGCGGGAGGCGTGGTAACCCTGCGCATTTTTCGCCGTGCGTGGCCGCTTCATCCAGGGGGCCTGGGTGTCCATGGGGGAATGCCGAAAACAAATCCGACACCGAAGCCCCTGGGCGGTCGTCTCAACCAAAAAAATGCGCATGACCCCTCCTTGGGAGTCTAGGCTGGCTGACTTTCGCGTGCGTGTTTTTTTTTGTTGGGGGGGGGGGCGGCTTAAGGTCCCCCCAGAAATCCGCCGACCCTGTCGGCGTGTGTGAGGGGCTTTTCCGTTCGAGCCGTCATCTCCGTCATTCTTTGTACTCGTCGTCTCTGTCCTTCCCTTTCCCTGGGAGACCTCTTCCCCTGGGCTCCAGCCAAGCCGACCTTGAGCAACCTCGTAATTGAGTCGAAGGGAAGCCCCTTCCCTTTGATCCCTCCCCCGCCGGGAGGGGGGGGGGGGTGTCGACCCCCCCCCCGGGTCAGATACGACGCCCCCCCCTGGGACTCCTCTTCCCCTGGGCTCCAGCCAAGCCGACCTTGAGCAACCTCGTAATTGAGTCGAAGGGAAGCCCCTTCCCTTTGATCCCTCCCCCGCCGGGAGGGGGGGGGGGGGGTCGACCCCCCCAACCGCGACCCCCCGGGACGACCCCCCCCCCGGGTCAGATACGACGACTCCTCTTCCCCTGGGCTCCAGCCAAGCCGACCTTGAGCAACCTCGTAATTGAGTCGAAGGGAAGCCCCTTCCCTTTGATCCCTCCCCCGCCGGGAGGGGGGGGGGGTGTCGACCCCCCCCCCGGGTCAGATACGACGCCCCCCCCTGGGACTCCTCTTCCCCTGGGCTCCAGCCAAGCCGACCTTGAGCAACCTCGTAATTGAGTCGAAGGGAAGCCCCTTCCCTTTGATCCCTCCCCCGCCGGGAGGGGGGGGGGGGGTGTCGACCCCCCCCCCGGGTCAGATACGACGCCCCCCCTGGGACTCCTCTTCCCCTGGGCTCCAGCCAAGCCGACCTTGAGCAACCTCGTAATTGAGTCGAAGGGAAGCCCTTCCCTTTGATCCCTCCCCCGCCGGGAGGGGGGGGGGGACCCCCCCCCCCAAGCCAAGCCGACCTTGAGCAACCTCGTAATTGAGTCGAAGGGAAGCCCCTTCCCTTTGATCCCTCCCCGCCGGGAGGGGGGGGGGGTCGACCCCCCCCGGGTCAGATACGACGCCCCCCCCTGGGACTCCTCTTCCCCTGGGCTCCAGCCAAGCCGACCTTGAGCAACCTCGTAATTGAGTCGAAGGGAAGCCCCTTCCCTTTGATCCCTCCCCCGCCGGGAGGGGGGGGGGGTAGCGACCCCCCCCCCGGGTCAGATACGACGCCCCCCCCTGGGACTCCTCTTCCCCTGGGCTCCAGCCAAGCCGACCTTGAGCAACCTCGTAATCTCTTGCTGCGCATTGCGAACGGGGTCGGCGGCACCGGCCGTCAGGCCTTCGCAATCTGACTGGGTGGTGGTCACGCGAACAGAGATGAATCTCTTCTCGTCGTCCTCGGCATCGATCTGCTCAAGGACGTGGTCGGGCAACTAGCAATTCTCAATGGTTTCTTCGGCCACTCCACCGGCAAATAGGTTGGCCAGAAACGCCCCCAGGGCTGAATGTGATCAGCGCCCCAGCCATCGTAGGACGGGTGCGATTTTGTCTCGCGAAACTCGATGGACCCATCGCGGGCCGAAAAGGCACTCCCAAAGTCGGCCCAAAGGTCTACAGTGGACATGCGTCGCCAGTCTGGCCCCCGCTTCACTCCACGATGCACGTAGTTGGAGTCGAGGGCCAAGGAAATGTCGCCCTGGAAATGAGCGATGGCCTGGATGGCCGCGTACAGTTCTCCTCTGTTGATGGTCTGCACCCCTGGCAGGCTACCTTTAAGGGCACGGATATTCTCGCAGTCTGGCCCTGGAACTCTCACTCCCCAACCGACGCGGCGCTTCCTGGGGCCCTGCTTATGTGGACCTCCACTAGCACCCGAGCCAACCAAAAACTTGCGATGAAATTGCACGTCCTGGAGGAGGAAGGCCCCCAAGGCTCCGTGGATGGGGATGGGGGGGAATTGCTCCGCGAGTCATTCGGTGAACTCGGCAGGCAGCAGGACTCTCCCCCACTTGATGGGGCATGCCTGGAAATGCTGCACAGCCCTGCTGACAAGGTGGGCGGAGTCCAACACAGCTCGCCGGTTACTTTCAAGAAGCTTCGGGCATGTCCAGAAACGATGAAGTTCATCCTCCGCGGCCGCGCCACAACGA